GAGAGAGAGAGAGAGAGAGAGAGAGAGAGAGAGAGAGAGAGAGAGAGAGAGAGAGAGAGGAGCGATAGAAGATTGTTGTGCGGTCCAAGGAAGAATGCGGCCATAGCCGCGGAGCTCGGGCACGGAGGTAGAAGAAAGAAGACGAGTGAAGGAGGAGAGAGAAGCCATAGCCGAGAAAGAGGAAGGAGGGACAACGAAGTAGAAGGAAGACATAGCTGGGGTGAAGAGAGAAAGAAGCGAGAAAGAAGGAAGGAGGGAGAAAGAGAAGCGAGGGTTGGTGAGAAAGAAAGGGTCGGCAGCCATAGCCGAGATGAGGGTTGACCGCGGCGTTGACCAAGGGGTTGACCGAAGTTGACTTGGGTGTTGACTCAGGCGTTGACCAAGGTGTTGACCAGGGTTGACCGGAGTGTTGACTAGGGGTTTGACCGGCGTTGACCAAGGCGTTGACCGGAGCTGTTGACCAGGAAATTGACCAAGCCGGAGTTGGTATATTCTCGCCAAGCCTTCAACCTATCCCCTCGCCCTATGGATGTGCACTCACCCCATGGTACTTGCTGAGTCTGTCTGTCTCTTCTTTCTGCATTGAGTCTCTTCTGTCCAGGTGATAGGAACTCTGTGCATGAGGTCGTAGAGCTGTGTTGACCAAACCCACACGGGCTGAGTAGGGCTACAGGCTCTGTTTGACGACTGACTGACCCGGATGACAAACCCTCCCAAGGACCGGTACAGACCGGCGGGCTGCTTAGTGTGGCACAGTAGGCCCAAAATCCGAGCTGTGGGCTGCACAACCAGCTGTCTAAGTGTTGAGAGGACTTGCTGATCACGTCGTCCTGTTTGCGATGTTCAACAATTCCTGAGGAGTTATGGGGGATCTCCTTAAATGCCTCCTGATCAACGTTGAAGTCCTGTAGTGACAACTTAGAAGTAGGTCTAGGCTAGTGACCATAGTTGACAGGGTTCTGAACCGGAGAGAAAGCCAGGGGGGATTGACAGCAGGTGCTGGGCATCTGGGTCTGGATTGTAAAGGACAGTGGTGGCGAAAGCTTCCGTCGGTCGTGGTAACCTGGCTGGATCGAAGGGTAAGACTATGTGGTCCTTAGAGAGTCAGTAGGTAAGTTAAGTCAGCTAGGGGGTGGAAGTCTAAGTGGTGAGGAGTGGAACTGACACTCGATTGTGCATCTTTCACCATGGTTGAGACGCGCAGCGGTAAGAGCACCACCCCGTACACTAAAGAGCAAGAAGAGAAAGCCGCCGCCATCCTGAGAGAGGAGGAGGAGAAGATGGAGAAGAGGGAGTTTATTGAGCAGGCGAAGATGCTGGCCTTGATGGAGGAGCAAAAGGCTAAGCAGAAGCAAATGGAGGAGGAACTTCAAAAGTGGAAAAAGGAACAGGAGGAGAAATTGGCGGCGATAGAGTCAGGAACAGAAGAAGAAGAAGTAGAGATACCACTGGAAAGGAGAGAAGAACAAAAGAGGGAGGGGAATCCTGTGGGGCGCGAGAGGCAGAAGCCAAGATGGAGGTGGAAGCTAAGATGGAGAGAATGGTGAACGAGTGGGTAGCTAACTTGGCCCTGGGGGAGGAGGATGAAGCATTGTTGTTTGTCCCTCAGGCAGAGCGAGAACAATTTGCTAGGGAATTGGAGGGTGAAGAGAATCCCATGAAGCGGCAGGTGATGGAGGAGAAAAAGTTAGAGTGGAAACTCCGCCTTGCCCGCGAGAGGAAGAGGAGATTGGAGGCGGCCGAGAAAATTTGTGGAAGAGGATTTGAGGGCCACCGAAGTAGAACATGGGAAGTTGGCAGCACAAATTGATCTCCAAAGGAAGGTGGAGATCTTATCACGGAGTGTAGAGGTGATGTTGAAGGCGCAACAAGAACAATTGCGCTATTTAAAGGGCCACTATATTACGCTGCAATCAATGCGCACCGGTTTTAAGGATTTTGCGAAGGATATGATGATGCATGTAGGCATCCAATTGCGCACAATTATGGAGGGCACTCATAAGTTTTGCGTGGGCGCCATTGAAGGCCCCAAGATAGTGGGCCCCAAAGAAGAAGCGGCCCGGCCACATAGAGAGCCTGTTAAGGTGAAGTTCCCTGATTCGTACAGCGGGAAGAAGGAGGAGAACTTCGATAATTGGGAGGCAAACGTGAACTCGTATGTTCACCTCCAGAAGATAGCTCATGAGGAGCATGTCCTCATTGCCTTTCATGGATGAATTGGTCGCCGTCCCTGACCATGGGGTTACCGAAACCCAGTTAGTCAACCAGTTCTATCGTGCCATGCCCGAACCGTTGCGCGGGCAATTCTTTGAGAAGAGTAGGAAGTCTGCCATAACCTACGATACTTCGAGTAGGGAGGTGGTAGCATTTGAAGCGCGGTCCATGCCAATGTCCACTTTTTGGCATAAGGACCTTGATGAGGGCAAGAAGTGGAAACGCCGCACCATCTCGGGTCAGGTTAAGGGGAAGGATCACCTGATCCTTACGCTAGACGAGGGTGGCATGGAAGAGGTCCCATATGATCAGATAGAGTGGGGCCTGTAGGAAGAGGATAGTGGTGTTAGTCAGGGGAGGACTTACGCCACTGTCGCGGCTGGAGGGAAGCCGCAAGGAAGAGGAGGAGGCCGGGGCCAAGGGGGGCAGGCTTCCGATGGTCGAGGACAGGGCGATCAGGGGGTTGGCGGTAGAGGAAACCGCGAAGCGGGAGGTAGGGGTCAAGGTCCCCCGCAAAACCGCTCTCGTATTAATCGGTTACCTCCCAGGAGGGGTGGATGGCACCCTGGCTGGCCGCAAGGCAAGCCTTGGGAAGATTTGGGTCTAGAACAGTCAGTGTAGCAGAGGAGAATAGACCAGGATCAGTGCATTGATTGCGGTGATCCTGGGCGCATTATTAGATATTGCCCTAAGTATAGAGAGGCCCGTTATGCTGCACAGGCAGCAAAAAGGCAACCGCCGGTAGGGGTCGCAACTGCCCTTACCACTAGACCATGTGGAGAAGAGTGCGCGCACCACATAGAAACTCCCAAACCACATGTGTCTATGGTAGAGGTTGCCGGCCAGTGCCTAGACAACTGTCCAGAGACTGCTTGCGTGAGCGTCTCTCTAGGCACTTCCCTCACAGGCGTGGCATAAGAGTTAAAGGAGAGGATGCTTGCCTGGGCCAAGATGAAAAAGGATGCGAAAGGACAACTAGTTTTGGTAGATGTAGAGGTCTTTAGAGGAAGAGTAGGGGCCCTTATAGATAGTGGGGCCACCCGCAGCTATATTAGTAGAAAAGCGCTGCAGAAGCTGAAGTTGAACTTGAAAGTCCAGAAGTTAGCAGATCCCATAGTCAGTATCCTCACCGACAATCGCACGATGGGAGTCGAGGATTACGTAGAGGGAGTCCAGGCGTATTTCCGCCTAGAGAAGGATGGGAAGGTGGAGAAATTTCTCCATTCCCTGACTCTCCTCGTAGAAGACAGCCTTCCTTTTGACATGGTCCTAGGAATGGACGGGGGAGAGGCAGCAGGGGCCACACTCCACTTGAGAGAGCACGAGTGTAGGCTCCCTAGTCCATTAGGCGAAGTAAAGACTGCTCGCCCGTTCCACGTGTCAGGAGTAAACAACTCTCTTAATTGGAAGAGCAGGTTTTTGTAGCCTATGTTAGGCCTGTCACTGAGCCTAAGGAAGAGAAGCACATTGATCCGGCTATTGCCAAGCTGCTGGAAGAGTATACAGACTTTGCTAAGCCACCTACAGGAGTAGTGCAACGACCGATCTAACATCGCATAGAGATAGAGGCTGGCAGTAGGACTCCTAAGGGAGCCATCTACAGAATGTCCCCAAGGGAGTTAGAGTAGTTGCGTAAGCAGTTGGATGAGCTCCTTGAGAAGGGTTGGATTAGGCCCAAATCATCTCCATTTGGAGCACCAGTTCTTTTTGTCCCCAAGAAGGAGGGAGAGCTTAGAATGTGCATAGACTATAGGGGTCTTAATGTTGTCACGGTGAAGAATGTAGAACCACTGCCCCGAATAGATAACTTGTTAGATCGGGTGCAGGGCTGCAAATATTTCTCCAAGATAAATTTGAAGTCCGACTATCATCAGATAGAGGTCCACCCTGATGATCAGTATAAGACAACATTCTGGACTAGATATGGGCATTACGAGTTTATAGTGATGCCCTTTGGACTAACCAACGCGCCAACCACGTTCCAGCGCTGCATGAATGATTTGTTAGGCCTTGGTTAGATAGATTCGTAGTGGTGTGTCTAGACGATTTCCTAGTTTTTAGTAAGACCCTCTAGGAGCATGAGGGCCATCTCAGGCAGGTCTTGTGGTGTATCTAGACGATGTCCTAGTTTTTAGTAAGACCSTCCAGGAGCATGAGGGCCATCTCAGGCAGGTCTTGGAGAAGCTAARGGAAGCTAACTTCAAGATCAACGCAAAGAAGTGCGAGTGGGCCAAGACGCAAGTACTGTACTTGGGCCACGTTTTAGATGGAGATGGTATAAAACCTGAGGACAGTAAGATAACAGCGATTAGAGATTGGCCAACGCCCCGCACATTGACATAGTTGCGGTCGTTCCTAGGCTTAGCCAACTACTATAGGAAGTTTGTGAGGAACTTCTCTACCATCGCTGCACCCCTTCGCAGGTTGTTAAAGAAAGAAGCAATTTGGGAATGGGATAGAGACTGTACTTCGGCCCTGAAGAAGTTAAAGCGGGCCTTGATAGAGTATCCAGTCCTCAAGGTAGCCGATCCATCGTTACCTTTTGTTATCACCACTGACGAGAGTCAGTATGGTATAGTTGTTCTTCTACAACAAGACGATGGCAATGGGTATAGACCCGTAGAGTTCATCTCTGCAAGGATGCCTTCAGAGAAGGTTGTGACATCTACCTACGAGAGAGAACTCTACGCTCTCAGGCAAGCATTAGATCACTGGAAGCACTACTTGCTTGGGAGGCACTTCAAAGTTTATTTAGACCACGAGACGTTGAGGTGGCTGAAGACGCAGGCCAAGATGACACCTAAGCTTACTAGGTGGGCCGCAGAGATAGACCAGCACGACTTTAAGCTCAAGCCAGTCAAAGGAAAGTATAATGTAGTCGCGAACGGTTTAAGTAGGAGGGCTGATTACTTTGCGGCGATAGTTCACTATCTGGATATAGGGAGAGACGTTAGTTATAGATAAGTTCTTTGATCATTGGGTCAGTGAGCATGGTCTCCCGCTGTCAATAGTTAGTGACAGAGATACCAGGTTCACCAATCAAAACTGGCAAGAGTTGATGAGAGTACAAATGAACAAAATCCTGCAGCAAGTTCTCAGAATGTATATTAGACCCGATCAGCTTAACTGGATGAGATGCTTCCCAAGGTAGCCAACACATACAATAATAGTGTGCATTTACCGCACTCCCAATGAGTTACATAAGTCCTTTAGACCGCGTAGACCGTTTGAGGGACTGAACCGGGATCAGATTCAAAGGCTACCACCCGGTACTAGGGAGTTTGCACTACACTATGAAAAGGAGATTGCTACCATCACAAAGAACCTCAGGAAGGCCAACATAGAATGATAGAGCAAGCCAATAAGCACCGCCGCCCATCACAATTTCAAGTAGGCGACTTAGTCTGGGTCAAGTCTACAGAGTTTGTTCCTGAGAAGAACATCTCGCAAAAGTTACTGCCTGCATACCGAGGACCGTTGTCGACCGGTAGAAGGATTCTGGCGGCCTCCAACACAACTCCTATGACTCACGCCGCGTCTGTCACCCGCGGGAGGGTTGGTTGGGGCTCCTGTAACCTGCACATTCCACGCCAGTACACATCCAAGACAAAGTACAGTTCAGGCTGACTCCTTGACAAATGAGACAAGTCTCAAGGAGTAGGCAGGAAAAGTAACAATATAAGTGCTTCCATTCAGTCCAACACTATAGGGCGCTCAGCGCAGTCTCCGACCTCAGCGGAAGTCCCTACATCTACATGTGTGGGATCAGTTTGGA